TATGATGGTAATTTGAAAAGATTGGAAGAAAACAGCTCCAATTTATAAACAGTATTGTGATTGGTAGGATTACCTATTTTTACCTTTATATTTCCTTGTAATTTAAAACTTCTTCATAGTAAGCTCATTTTACTTTGATAATCATGGAGGAAATAATGAGGCCAGTGTGACAATCCACTCAGGAGTATATTATAAGAAGTATTATTCTACTGTAAAATGATTTCATTAGCTCACACCTTTTGTCATTCTCTCCATAGTTACAAAACAGAAGCATGGGTGAAAGCCCTAGGGCCCAGAAATGATGTACATTAGCTAAAAGTATCAAGAAGCTTAACATGAGGTGTTTCATGATCAATTTCAAGCAAGCATACATTGCTCATGCAATTGACTGGCATGTCAAATTCTTGACAAAATAATAAGTGACTCTAGGTGTCAATCACTGTCTCACAATGCATTCCATTGTACAGTTTTTGGTATTGGTATGATTAAATTATGAGGGCATCCCAAATACAGCAAATTGTGGAGAAATTACTCCTCCTCTTGGGAGTCTGCTGTTCTGATGCTCTGCCATTTTCTAGCCAAAGAAGAGGCAAACACAGATTGCTTTTCAATTGATTGGTTGGTAGCAGCCAGCTTTAGGAATTCCTACTTATAGTTGGCCATCATCAACAGCTTTTCTTAATTCCATTGTTTACTTTCAAATGCAGCCAGTCCTGACAGATTTTTGACACCATCCCCTACCCATGACACTTTTCAGTTCACTCTATACCTTTCACTTCCAAGAATACCGTTTTCTTTGCTGTTCCACAGCAGGAAGGGAGAAATTCTGCTACCAAAAAAAATTATATTAAGAGAGAGAATGCTTTTTGGTGATTCTTCTCTATTGAATATCCAAAGCATCTGAAAGTTAAGAATTATAATCCTGCATTGATGGGAAAAGCAAAACAAAACTGAAGTATGAAAGGGAAACGACACAGTGGAGAATGCACGAATTCAATAAACGAATGCAATGCAAATGAGAGAATTCACAGAAGAGCAGAGGTAAATACTGCCAACACCAACAGTCGCAGAACAACAAGACACACTAGTCAGGGAGTGACAGGAAAAGGTAACTCTTAAACAGTGGTCACCTGCTAATGGTCTACATTTTCACCCCTATAAACAGCAAAACAGGGCAAATGAGCTAAAAATAATCTCTTTTTTTCTGTTTTCTTTTCCCTACATATGTGCTACTGAAATCATCTTCTATCCCCTATTTCCTATCAACAACAGTACAATCCATTTCCTAATATCTGAGTGATTTATTAGCCACCTGAGTGTCAAACTTGTTTTTCCTCATTTTCAGGGGATATTTATGTCATGATACGCCACACTTATTTCAATATAATTTACTGTGCAGCAGTGGTATTTCTATGAATTAAAATCAAGGCACCGAACCACACCAAAGAGGAGTGGTGAAAGTACACTTCATCATAGTCCTACTGAAAAATGTTTTAATATATATTCAGAAGAGGAGAGTATTACTGTAATTATTAAGAAGGAGCACCTACAGCAAACAACTAAAAAGATGAAAATCACTTAAAACTAGCTATTCTTTCTTTTAAAAAGAAAGGACAATCATGCAGGCAGAAAATTCTGGGACTAAGAAATCAAGACTTGAAGTACAGAGTCTTCATATACAGAAAGTATATGAAGTATGAGAATACAGTCAATCAGTGATGCCCAATAGAGCTATCTATCTTGGATGATGGAAATGTTCTATGATCTGCATTATTCATTATAGTAGCGACTATCTACATGTGGCTACTGAGTCCTTGAAATATGGGTAGAACAACTGAGAAACTGTATTTTTAATTCTGATTTCATTTTATTAATTCAAGTTTAAATTTAAATTGCCACATGGAGCTAGCCACTACTATTCTGGACAGCGAAGTACCACAGGCAGTTTGAAATTAAAACAGAAGCAACAGGTGAAACATACTGTGAAGTAAGTCTGACTACTACATATAAAATAGACAAACAAGTCTCTACTCTATAGCACAGGGAACTATATTCAATATCTTGTAGTAGTAACCTATACTGAAAAATATAAAAGAGAGTATGTATGTATATATATGACTGAAACATTATGCTGCACACCAGAAATTGACACAGTGTAAACTGACCATACTTCAATAAGTCTGAAGAATTTAATTCTCCAATGTGCCTACACACCCAGTGCCTAACCTATTTTGAGTATCTACCTTCTCCACACCTGTCTGCATCTTCTCAATTCATCCAATGACCAGTGATATCAGAGACATTCCCAACCCTTCAAGTGGCAGATTAAAATTAACAATGTGTAGAAAAACCTCTTAATTCTCATACCCATATGTGACCTTTTGAAAGTAATAGGGACTGAATGAAAAGCCCAATCCAGGGAAAACTGTAAGCCAGAAAGAGAAAGAATGCCATATGATATCACTTACACGTGGAATCCAAAAAAAAAAAAAAAAAGACACAAATGAACTTGTTTACAAAACAGAAACAGACTCATTGACGGAAAATAAACTCATGGTTACCAGGGAGAAACGGCAGTGGAAACAGGTAAAATGGGAGTTGGAGATTTGCAGATACTAACTACAATATATAAAAGAGATAAATAACAAGTTTATACTGTATAGCAGACAACTATATTTAATATAGTAACCTATAATGAAAAGAATATGGAAAGGAATATACATATGTCTGACTGAAACATTAAGCTTTACACCAGAAATTGACACAACAGTGTAAACTGACTATACACCAATAAAAAAAGGAAAAGGAAAAAAAATTAACTCTAGAACTTACTGATAGTATTATAAATTCTGGCTTAATTCTTCTAATATATAACATGCTGAGGCTTTTCTCATTAATGTGACAATGTCCTGCTAATTTTGATTTTAGCTGAAGGTTCAAAGAGCTGTGTGTACATTCCCATTTGTACTAATATATTGACTTTACAATTTTTTAGCTCATTTAAAATAGCACCAATTATGTCTTTTTAAAATTCGACAGACATCATAAATACCGGTGGATCACTTGTGTTAAGAAAAAATAATAATCTGCATTGATAGTCCACCATGCAAAATTTCTTCCATAATAAGATGCCCTGTAAATGATTTTGTTTTGTCTAGAAATTCCTCAGATGTTGCCAGAGGCTATATCAGTCATATGAAAGTCTTAAATGCTTTGAGATTTTGACTATAATAGTCCAACTACTGACTCTTAGTCAATAAGAACATTCATTTTATCCTTAATATCCTCATGCTAATTCAATTATGTTTCTTATTTCAGCCTACATTTTATATCTAAAGTGCTCGTTTAGCACTCAGTTAAAAATTTCACCTTAATCCTTCTAGCAAATAATTTAAAAATTTGACAATTTGCTCTATTTTTGCATTAGTTACGTTGAGCTTCCATAACTTGTTAAATTTTCAAAGGGAGCAGAAAAAGTCAAGAAGTTTTGACGTATATATTGATCTCAGTTTTTAGCACTGGTCATGAAGAAAAATAAGGAAAAATTATTTTTATGGAGTTAAGCCTGCTTCTTTGGGGACATATAACAAACTATAGAGAAAGAATGAATTAAAAGTACCTCCTTCCACAGATGAGGCAAAAGCAGTGTTTATAAATTGTTCCTATCATCTTTGAACAAGTATACAAAGTACACAACCCAAACGCAAAGGCCAATGGTACTAGACTTGCAGAAGCAATAGCTGCTAACAAGTGAGCCTTGCCAAGTAACTTCACATCAAGGAGTGCCCGAGGTACAAAAGGTTGGGTGGTTGGTGCAGCTGGAGAACGTCAGTGCTCAGTGTGAAATGAGGGTGACTTGACTATTTACAACAGCCAAGACATGGAAACGACCTAAATGTCCACCAACAGGTGACTGGATAAAGAAGATGTGGTACATATATACAATGGACTATCACTCACCCATAAAAAAGAATGAAATAATGCCATTTGCAGCAACATGGATAGACCTAGAGATTATCATACTAAGCGAGGTAAGTCAAAGACAAATAGGCGATAACACTTATATGTGGAACCTTAAAAAATGATACAAATATTTACAAGCCAAAAATAGACTCACAGACATAGAAAACAAACTATGGTTACCAAAGGGGAAAGGGAAGGGGAGGGATAAATTAGGAGTTTAACAGATACACATTACTATATATAAAATATATAACAAGGATCTACTGTGTAGCACAGGGAACTATATTCAATTTCTTGTAATAACACATAATGGGAAAGAATCTGAAAAACATATATACATATATATATATATATATATGTGTGTGTAACTGAACTACTATGCTGTACACCTGAAGCTAACAAGCACACTTCAATAAAAAATAAAATTAAAAAATGAGGCTGACTTGGGTTCAAATCTCAGGTCTATTACATGACCTAGGGCAAATCTCACCATTCCCAGGTTTCAGTTTCCTCATTTGGAAAATAGGGACCCTACCACTTACCTCATTAATGTAGCTGAGGAATTAAATACAATTAAGTTACCATTATAATTACTACTGTACATTAGCATAACTTTCAGGAAACAATACAGAGTCAATCATAGCCTCTTTTACCGTTGTGTTAAATATTTCACAGGCAAGTTTCCAAATATGGCTTTTTCTCCCTTCCCCAGAGCCAAGACACTTTTCCTTTAAAAACGGCAGTATTGTACATGAATGACCACAGCTTTTAGGTTCACTTAGACCATGTCTTTCTGTACTGTACTATCTTTACTTCCTAAGACATCATATTGTGTCCAGTGGAAAACCTTGTTGGATTCATTCCAATTACATCAGGTCCATTTCACTAAGAAAGTACCCTCTACCTCCATTCAAAGTCTAAGGTGATAGGCTACCAATGGTTTTTTCTAAAGGAACACTGGCTGGTGGAACTAGCTGTATTCATTCATTTTAAAATGAATTAACACTGCCCTAGTCCAATTTCAATATTTTATTAAGTTTCTTTGGTCTTTTCCTTCCCTTTTTCTTCTTCAGAAATCCAAGAGAGTTTAAAGGGAAATTTCTTACATCTATTTTTCCCCCTCTGAAGAATTTAGACTGCTGTGTTTGTAATCAATGACCCATATCCAAAATAATCACATTTGCTTTTCATAGTCAGAATATTCAAAAGAAGCTCAGCTTTTTCAACTTACTTTTTATAAAATATTAGAGTTGTCTTATGACCAAAAATATGCAATTGTACAGGTTTATTATGAATAAGCTTAAAATATTTTATGGTAAAATGCTTTTAATGTATATTATTTTTAATAAGTTCTTTACGACTATTGGAAATGTACATTCTATAGCTGAAACCTGTAGCAGTGAATTCAGAAATTATAGTGGCCAAGAAGAAACATTTCAAAATTAAACCAGGAAATTGATTAGGGACCCCTAACTTACCGGCTACCACAACCATCATCTCGTAGTTTGCTGAAAGGTCCACAATAGGATGGCAGAATCCAGTTTGGGAGTCATGTTCTCTCACTTATGCACATCCCTACAATCTCAAGAACTACTGGAACAGCCATCTGGGAAGAATAGCTGTCAAGTCCAGAGGTAATTTAAAGCCAAGATCAAGCTTCTGTATTAGACAGGGATAAATGGAGAGTTAAGTATAGTCATATTTTTCAAAAGACAGTTGCAAGTCTTAATAATATGTTTAACATAATGTGCCAAAGAAGAACATTGTCAAGGGCCAAAAGCTGGCATGAGTTTTATAACTAATAATCCTGGAACAAGAGCTCTATGTATTGTACAGCATTGAAATTCAAGGTTGGGGTGCCCTAGAGCTCAAAGCCAGAATTCATCTGTGAACACCTCTCTTTAATGAGCATATCTTAAGAAAAAAGTCAGTCTGTAAGCACAGTCACTAGGAGAAAGATCAGATAACTCAGACATTGCATCATCCACGCAGATTAACGCAGTAACACAATATTAGGTATGGAAATGACTAATTTCACGTCAGCAAGACACCACAACTAAACAGTGCCAGGCAAATTCTGGTTCAAAACAAAGTTCCGTTGGTTTATCATGCTACTCACTTCAGTAGGACAGAAGGGGCCTCCTTACAGGTGCAGTCATCTATGCTCCTGGCAAACCAGACAGATCAGAGGCCACAATCTCCTTAAAAACAGCTTCTGGTAGCTAGATAAAGTGGAAAATGTTCCCAAAGCTAGATGAAAATAATCAGACCTCTATATGCTATTATTTTAGCTAAATGGAATTTTCAGTATTCTTGGAAAAAACCATTTAGATAAAATATTTGCCTACAATACTGTGTTTTTCAAGTATTATTTTCATGTAAAACTGAGTGTTTAAGGATAAAAATTCCCTCAAGCTCTCTGAATGGTAGCACAGTTGACGGTGTCAAAAGCCATGCTGAGATCAAGGGAAACGAGAACAGAAGTAGTAGTGACTGCAGCCATAAGGAGGTCATTGAAAACCTCTTTGCTATGATACAAACTAAAACATGACTAGAATCTCACCAAAAAAAAAAAAATTCACGTGTCCATCCTAAATCAAAAGAAGAAAACCAGCCAAAATTTCCTAAAAGACTTCGATGCCTAGGGAAAAATTCACTTGTCAGATTCCAGACAATTTGCACTGTATGTATAGAAAAATGCAATTTAACATTACCAATGAATTTCCAAAGGAAGGGATTTCCCCTCACTTTCAGACATAAAGCATACATCAGTATTTAAGTGCTAGGCCCTCAGAAACAACTTCTTTATTTTTCTACTTGAAACTTTCTATAATGATGTGTAATGCCATTACCTAATACAACTGTTTCCCACCATTTTTGAAGTCCCACTTCAATCCAACAAACTTTCCTAAATTGACCAAAATCCCAAACCGAGAAATTCTATGACTTGTCCCTTCCCCTGAACACCATATTATGTCATCCAGAAGCAGCTCTAAAGTTTGGATACCTCTAGGAGAAAGCCACATAAGAATAGGAATTACTACGTTCTTGCAAAAGTTCTCTATTATTTATACTTCTCTATTATTTCCATAGAAAGTTCTCAGCCCTTGTTACCTTCTCTACAAACCATGGACATCTTTACAATGGGTATATTATTTTAAACTATTCACTAGCATGGGCACAGTGCTATTTTACTATTTACAAGTAATTATTTTCTCATAGTTATTGACACCTAGCCATTCATTAGATACCAATCATTATAGTTTTGTTGAGAAGTTATGATAGATGGCTTAGCTAAGGCCCTGTTATACATTTCTGACTATGATCAAGACACTGATAAATTCTGACTGGTCCTTAAGACTTGGTGATACACATTAACAAAGGGGAAACTTCACCAACTTATCCTGTGCAAAATACTTTATCACTTGTTTTATATAGTATCTGAAACCCTTTCATTGCTACCAAGTTTATCTTAAGATAGAGCCACCCTTCTATGTTTACGTAGCATGTGGATATGTGCTCACCTTCAGCACAAAGCATTCTTTATCCTGATGCTCATGATATACTCTATATACATGTATACACTTTTTTGGTTTATTTCTATGTTGTTATGTTATCATGCAATTGCATGATGATCTGAGTAACAGCGGAGTCTACAAAGAATACAGACAGAAGGTTATCAGTCTTGTTTCATAAAACATACATGAAACCTGGTCTTTTGGGAGCCATATCTTATTTAGCTATTGACAAAATAATAATCAATCCTATCTATTGTATTTCATTCACAGAACAACTAATTTAAGATCAATAATGAACTAGAGACTGAATTTTGGCTCTTTAACTTACGAGGTGTACAATTTGGATAAGTATCTGAGACTCAATTTCTCATCTGCAAAATACCTCCTTTGCAGGGTTCAAATGAAAATTAAGCAGAAGAAACAAGTACCAAAGAAATTCCTGCAGCAAAGTTGTTACCAGTAAGCAGTAGTTATTTCCCTGTCTTCGTTTGCTCTTTAAAGCCACTGTCATCTGGCTTTTGACTGATACTTCAGTGAAACTGCCCTAATTAAGCTCTCCAATTAACTCACTTGCCACTTTTCAGTCTTCTGTTACATGAGACATTCATTCTCAACTATTCTTTGCTTCATGGACACATTTCCTTGGCTTCTGAGGTTCTCCTCTTTCAAACTTGGGTTGCTTGAATTGCTGCCTGGTTTCCCCTCCTCTCACTGTTCTGCCTTGAGGAAGGTGTTCTTTGAGGGCTCCATCTATGCCCTTATCTTCCTCCTTCACATGTCCTCTTGATGGTTTCAACCACCAACCTCCATTTCCATCTCTAACATCTTTCCTGAGCCCTATTCCAAAACTTCTAGTCTCTTCCTACAAGTCTACAGGAAACTCAAATATCAAAGTCATCCTCATCTCACTGCCTCACTCCCCTTGCCTCCCTGAACGTACTTCTTCATCGCTCAGAAACCCAAGCTTGAAAGATTAGAGGCACACTAGACCAGCCTTTTACATTGCCCCTGCCAAAATGGTCATCAGCCTTTAGAACCTACATCTCCAGTTAATTCCCATTCCCACTGTCTTATCCAAGGTCTTCATCTTGCCACCTTATCAGTTTCTCACCAGCCTCTGATTCAACTGCCATATCACTTACAGTTTAATCTAAGATACAAGCCACTTGAATTGTTTAATGACTCCTTCCCTGTGGTTTCAACTCCTTAGGTCAGTTCCTCTCAGTCAGCCTGTTTGGCTCTGTGCCCCAACACGTGGACCCCATACTTGCAACCAGTTACGATGTCCTACAAAGCCAGCTCATAACATGCCTCTTCCCACTTTGTGTCTGTGATAAAACCAAGTTGATCATGCAAGACTCAGCTCAAACATTACAATGGATTATCAATGAACATATGATAAAGCTAATATTTGCATTATTTAGTCTGGAAGACAAGTGGCCTAATTACAAATGGACAACCGAATTAGTCTTCCACACATAAAACACTATTACACAAGAGAGACTGAAAACTAGTTTTCCCTTGAGGGAAGCAAAGTATCTTTGCATTCTTAATTCCCAAGAAATCTAGTATTGCAACTCGCTCTAAGCATCACAGAACAGTAAAGAAGACCATAAGGATACTCAAATGGGGGGCTTTGGGTCAGACAGTAAAGTTCATCTTAGCAGTGAGCACAGTTGACTCTGGTATGGTTTTAGATTTTCTGTACATCTTTAAGAGTAGAATAGACACCCAGGTGCTGAGAAAACTTTAGTTTTCCTTTCTCAAGGTGAAAAGCTGCATCAGATGAATTTCCTAAGGTTTCTTACAACACAAGCTTCAACTTATCAGGGATGCTTCCTCTACAAGAATTTCAGGAAGGAAGAAACGCTATATAAAGAATGGATGTGAAGAATGAGATTTATTGACATTGAGGTTCTATTTCTATATTTATGGTGTTAAAAATGAAGAAATTTAAGTAACAAATACAATACAAGCAAAACTTGTCGTCAATTCAAAATTCTCTTTTTTAAATGTATTAGGAAGACAACTCTCCCTAAAAGCATAAGACATTAATTACATTTCCCCCTTTCACTCACTGTAAGATTATCTTTACTTTTTTGTACAAATGGCATAAAGATTCCAAAGTGCACAACGTGATAACAAAATATGAATGGCAACATTTCCACGAAGTATAACTGATTTCAAAGCAGTTAAGATGCGATAGAAATACCAATGATTTTTAAGCCCACATCATGCTTATTTTACTTATTGTTAATTTACACATTCATTTATTTTGTATCAAGGGAAAGAAAAAATAAACCTGCAGTTCAAAGACTGTTCCTCTCCTCCTGACCCCATTCACTTTCTCAGCATCTTCACTTGCACTGGTAACCTCTACATTGCCTTAAGAATAGCCCGTGCCTGCTGAGACAGTGTGTGGCTCTAAGTCTGTAAAAAAAAAAAAAACTAAGAGAGTATATAAGTAACTTATTTTAAGGAGAGTTCAGAGGGCGATCAACTGAAAATTTATTTCACTTAAAAAAAATGATAAAACAAATCCTCCTCTATGATCTGTTATAGCCTTAAAGAAGCAATTGACTATTAAAGAAATGTCATGAAATCAACATACTTCCATTACTTTATCAATTATAATTGTCATATCAGAAAAAAATGTAACACAGGAATTACTCAGTAAATGGCAGCAGTTCTATGTCAGGCATGGGAAAAAAATAACATCCTAAA